TTTTGCCTTATTACACAATGACTAATGCGTATTACTTACTTTACTTCGGCTATCTCCTACGGGAGGATGAGCCGGCTTCATGAACATCTCGAATCATCGCTGCCCAGGCGCGGCGATCTGATGCAAGAGAGTTCATGAAGTTTCATGGGAATTTGGTACGAGTGATGTCCCCAGAATCGCTCGGCCTTTTGTTTGAGAGAGCAGCTCTAGCCTTTACACAACCAAGTGTGACCTACAAGGCAGTAGGAGTGGAGTAAAGAGTCCACTATCCATTGGCAGCCGGTGACCGGAGTTCGGTTCATACGCCTTTTTGAATGGGGCCAGACATCCAGGACATCCAACAAGCCCTTTGTCTATACGTCTGCCGGTGACCTCCAGTGAGCTTCATACGCCAGTCGTTGGAGGTTTGGAATCAGGGTTTAGCCATCTCCCCTAGACTGTCATCCAATGGACAGTCAACCCGGTGAAGAGCACCGGGCATCCGCCTTCACCCTCTCACTTTGGTGAAAAACACCTCCGCCACGTGAAGGCAGTGAGTAGGACTTCCTCAGGAGAGGCTATGTAAGACGCTCGGTCATATGGGAGCATTTCAAGAGGTGTGCGGAGGGGTGGCCAACCTGCAGCGCAAGGCACCCACCCCCGACCATCCTGAGGCTTTGGAGGCTTATTGGATTCAATAGGGTATTTTTGAAGTTACAGTCATATAGTGCTCCACTATTCTCTAAGATTATAATCGATTAATTTTTTTTATTCCTGTGTCTATTGTCTACCATGAAGTCAATAAAGATTACTCTTCAAGGTTAAGCTGTGTACTGTACTGTACTTATTAAAAAAAATAGATTGTACTTTAATGGCACAAATAGAGATTTTAAATTAGATCACGATCTAAGATCATGATCAAATCCCTTTAAATGAAAACTTGAAAATTAATTTACTGTTTGTTCGTGACTGAGTTCAGGTTAGGCTTACTGGAATTCTAGTGAGAAGTTGCTATCAGTAGAGTTAAAAGTAGATTGATGGATACTCACCGATAATACTGGCTGGCTGTGCCATTATATAAATCGTGACTGAATTGTCGATCATCTTGTAACTTTAAGTCCCTAGATTCGTTCGATTCTGGATGGCAATCATGGGTGTGTGTGCCTTGCTGTAGAGTCGCGAATTTGGACGACGAAACGACTGTCCGGCACTAAGTGGTGTTCCCAGTGACTACCCTAATTAATTAATGATATCATTTTGTGTCGTCTCTTGAAATTAGTCAAAATTCCTGCTAACTAAACACTTTATAATATTAGATGTTGGTTACTAGTGTCCATTGAATGACGACGGCTTCTGGCAAAGTTTAAAGTTTAAGCACGGTGAACCACCAATCAGCGAATTACTCTGAAGGCACCAATCACATGAAAGAGGCTGTTTTTGGGTATGAATATTTATGAATAAAATGCTTAAAACTGTATAAAAGTATTACATAGGATACCTTTCTCTCACATGTGATAAAAACGACTCCCAGTTTAACATAGGAGTATCAATAGAAAAGTTACATCACATCCTGTACGTATATTTATCTCAATGACTTCAAATAAAATGCTTTTGCGAACCATTGATAGCTGTGATCCTATTTTTCAACCTTTTCCAAAATCCTTCGATAGAATTGGTGTTGGTCTCTGTAATATTATCCAAAAAATTATTGGTATGGTTTACTCTATGATTAGTATATCCAAGGGATGATAAGGAATGATAACCTAACCACTCATCTGTGTGTATTATAGTTCCTTGTTTCACCAGTCAAGTGTTAATGGGTATTAAATTAGTTGACTTTCTATCTGTTATTCTCTCGAAGAATTCTTTCCGTAGAGAGGTTTTTTTTTAGAAATTCCTTGACGTCCCCAGTGGAACGTAGGGCTTCAAGCTAGAGGCTTGAAGTATCGGTAGCTGTGGTTTTTATTTTTACGGGATGGGGTTGCTAGCCTCACGCCTAACCTTGCCTCTTTACCAGTCTTATTACTGGCTTAGGGAGGTAGAGGAGTGAGTTTGTGGCCTAGGATCGAACCCCGAAGCACGTGTGTTGTTGGCGAGCATTCTACCGCTGTGCCACTGACGTACGTAGACAGGTGTCGTATAATCCAATAAAACAAACATTATATGCTCGTTCATGACCACAATTGTATTTTCTCTTTAATAAGACTATTTCATCTACATGTACAATGACACCTCCTTCCAATAAAGAAGTAAGTCTCTCCACCTTTCAAGTAGCCTGTTTTAAAATCCAGTGATTACAAAAATACAAAATCTGAGTTAATGACAGATGGGCCTAGCAAAAAATGTTCCTGAGAAATTGTATAATCATCAGCTTACCTTTACTCACATTAACTCGTCTCAAACAAATTCCACAACGATGCACGTGTTCATCAACCGATCTGCCTTGGAGCTTTTCATACTCATGACACCTCTACATGAACAAATCTTTTCTTTTCTAATCAACCCCACATCTAAGCAGTACTGAAAAACTTTGTCTTCACCAGATTACAGACGTAAGTAACTGTGTTAGAGCAGGCATTCGACTTTAATCATGCGGAATTGAAGTTTGAACTCACTTGCCCACTCAAGGTTATTGGTGCAGATGTGGTGTGGCGTTACACGTAGGCATTTCGTTGGTAGTTACTGGTGCTTAAAGTTTAACTTGATCCGGCTTTTTTTTCTGTCTAATTTATCGTGTCGATTGATTTTGCTTGCTCTTTTCTACTTTATGCTGAGCAGTTCAACTGATTGTATGAAGTACTTTAGATGTAAAGCCCAAATGTGTCGCTTTTTGAAATCTCACTTCATCTTTTCAATAACCCTATATATATATATATATATACATATATAGGGTCAAGACAGGCCAAAATACCCACATTTCGGATAAAGGCCTTTTGCTTACAACCTTAGTTCTTCAACGATAACATCAGTGAGATATTAGCAAAGCACCTAAGGAATACGGTGGTATAAAGAACATTCGGTGCTACTGAAGTATGTTGTGTCTTCAAAGCCATCCTTATTTTGCGTTCGAGAACAAAAGAGAAACTACTTAATTTGGCCTCTTTCAATTTGACTACTATTGTGGAGTCTGTTACATAGGCCGTACAATTAGGCGTGTTTATCGTCGGATTTCCGAACATCGTCCTGCGTCGTTAAGTAAAGGACATCTTGTGGATGCAGATTACAAGACTGATTTTAACAAGGCTTTGAAAGTCATTTACCCTACAGTAACTAATGTTAGTTTTACGTCAAGAGTTCGTCTGTCACACATTGTTGAAGTCGGTGGAATCTATATTAAGAAGCCCAACCTGTATATCCATAAGAAATTGGTAAAGACGCTTTCCTTACCTTGACCATCAAGGTTTTAATGATCCTTAATTTGTTGTAAAAAATTCCCTATTTTTATTTGATATTCTTTTTACTTTTACATGTTTATGCTTACTATAACTCATACATCTTTCTTGAACTGTAATCTCATTGATCTTAACAACTCGAGATTATTCAAAAAACATCAATACTGTAAATGACGATTATTCTAGAATTTTCTATGTATATACATAATTGTAGAGCCGGAAGAGGAAATTACTGAAAAGAATATTTTTCACTCAAATTTTCTTTAGTCTTCTATATATACATAAAATTTAACTCATAACAGAGCATTTCATACAAGAATTCCATTTTTTAAAAATAAATTTCCCCAGAGAAAGAACAAACAGTGGTGCCGTTTTGAGGAGACGATGAGTTTATCACATCCATTAAGTAGACTCACTTCTTCTTCAGTGAATTGGAACTAACGTTTCAGAAGAGTATGTTTAGCTAGTCCTTGATCCAACAGCTTTCAACCTATCAGCTGGCTAGCTAGCTAGCGGGCCACTTTGTGTGAAAGAGGGTGAATTCACCATTGGGCCATTTCTTTTTATGAATCTTTAGTAGACAAGACATATATATGGTAGATGAGATACCCCTTGGGCTTTAATTCATTGTATCTGTATGGTTGTCAATCATTTTCTTTTTCTTGTACCAGCTCTCTGAGTGCTTTTGTGACTTTATTTTCAGTTGAATCCGTCATATCCTTCTTATGATTATCAATTTTTTTGAATTTTGACGTATCATCGAGAATGGACTCCATTTTGTTTTTGGATATATATAAATAGCTTTGTTCATCACTACCGCGCCTGAACCTTTTTATCTCGTTGCAGTATGCCGATATCTTCATTGCTTAACAGATGTTCAGTTACTTTCTGGTGCTCTTTAGTCATGATTCTAGACTGACTATCTGATTGGTGAACGAAGGTATTGGTTGGAGATGTCAACTAGTCTCGATTTGAACCAACCTTTTTTGTGCTCCACTGACGAACAGGGGATGTAGCTCGGTTTATTGGTTGAATAGATTCCTAAATTGGGCTTCTGTGTGTATATTTTATGCACAAATATTCTCCGAATGTGTAACTTGAATCCGAGTGAAAGTGCCTCAATTTCAGTTGGATTTAGTTTTACACTTGACTGATGGATAACTTTACATAACACTGCAGCTAATGGCATTGGCTGATGCCATTCGCGCTATTGTCGTGAATTGTCAGAAGTTGGAATTCATGAACTGTCTGTCCATTGGATCGGGTGCCAGTAGTGACTGATGAATGGTCTAGTAGCTCGCCATGTTACCGGAAGGTTCTGGGTCGGAACCCCTCTGGTGGATGCATACTGGTGAAGACTCCCGAACTAGTGGGACGAAACAGCTGTTCAATACTCCCAGGTGGTTTTCCAATGGTTTTCTAACCTACGTCAACCTGTAACCGGTCAAATCCCTGCAAACCGACACTTGAATAACATAAGACTGTTTATTCTTTCTCTGCTCGAGTTCATCATAAAAAAATAAATAGGTCAACTTGTGTTATTTGGTTTTTAAAAGACAAGAAATGCGCCTACAATGACCTTTTTATTTATTTATTTTTTTATTTCTTCTTGTCTTCTTTTCTGCATAGAAATTGGTTGATATGAATAATTTTTCATCAGCAATGGCTATTGTCTCCGGTTTACATGTACAGTGTATTTATCGTTTGAATGCTACATGGTCTAATTTATCATCACGTGATCGACATACATTTCGTAAATTGGCTGATCTGTTCTCACAAGAGCATAATTATGTCAATTTGCGTACTGCTGTAGATAATGCACGTCTTCCATGTATACCATATTTAGGTAAGTCTAATATTTTATTATTATTGTTATATCATTGTTTGTGTGTTTATATGACTGGTGGTAAAGACTGTTTTCTTTGAAAAAATGTTTCCTTTCATTGTCTTTATTATGAAGTTGTATACCTGTATTGATTTGAAAATCTGGTGAGTGGCGTTAACTTTCCCCCCTCGTTTTTAATATTTTTCCCTTGGGTTCTGAGGGGGACATCAGGAGGATTTTGACAGCACGTCTCCAGTGTGTCCCATTTTCTTCAGCCCTCTTTAGCTGACTGTCCCCACGATTGTCCCTAGTTTCTCATTTCCTTTTCGCCACATGATCACCCTCGGACCAATGCCCCACTCGTCATTACCCGTTCGAGTTCCACTCGGACGATGGCCTGCACTGAGTGCGATGTCGTTCAACGGTCTCCTCAGTGACAGGAGCCTGTACCTGCACTCACTCTTGCGGGTGAACCGCTTGAAGTTGTTGATAAGTTTGTGTACCTGGGTAGTTGTGTGAGTGCTGGCGGAGGGGTGACGGATGAGATTTCCAACCGTATAATGAAGGCTAGGGTGGCATACATCAACTTGTGCCACCTCTGGTGCCGTCGCGACGTTAGCCTGGCTGTCAAAGGTCGGGTATACAATGCTTCGGTGCGGGCTGTCTTGCTCTACGCCTGTGAAACCTGGCCTCTCCGAGCTGAGGATGTGCGGCGACTCTGCGTGTTCGATCATCGCTGTCTCCGCAGGATTGCTTGCGCTCGATGGCATCATCGCGTGAGTAATTCTGAGGTTCGGCGGCGTGTGTTTGAACACAGTGGAGATCACCATTCATTGAGTGTCGTCATCTGGAAACACTGGCTCCGGTGGCTTGGACATGTTCTGCGAATGTCATCCCAGAGGCTTCCGTACAGGTCTCTGTTAGCTAGCCCTGGGACGGGATGGAAAAGGAGGAGGGGTGGTCAGTCCATGACGTGGCGTCGTGGGATGAAGGATATTTGTGCTAGATTAGCATCGGTTGGTGTGTAACGACTCCCTGGTTGGGGTCCGCGAGATAGCTTGAAACGTTATCGGATATGGCCAAGAATCGTAATCAATGGCTAACGTGTTGCAATTTCCTTCTTTCTTCCCTTCCTGATGATAGTTAACGAACACTGTTTGTACTTGTTAAACATGACTGTTTTCCTTCCTGATGAAGTTCTTTATCCGTTCTCCACCCGTATATTTTTACTTTTAATCTATGTTGTTTTATTATTATTGTGTGGTGCATCTTTCTTGGTGCTATATTGTACCAAGTTTTTCTGCGTTTAAATACAATTAAATGCAATACTCCTCAGTGCCGTATGCCCATTCCATCTCCATTTACTTCTACGTATTTGTTGAGTAATCGGTTCTTGGTTGGTTCGTTGCCAGCCGGAGTTTTTTGTTGGTGGTTCTTTCTGGCCTGTGAACCAGCCATCCGATCGTCAATATGGAGCCAGTGAAGGTGTCAGCTGTTGATAAAAGTCTTCCGTAGCGTGTGTTGGAAATGCTTTCCGTGACACGTGTGAGCCACATTTCTGATCGATTTAAAAGATTTGTGATTTCGATAGGTTTCGACATCCTGATCCGTGAAGTCGGCTGTAGTTGAAGTGATGCTTCCTGGTGAGATAAGTGAAGGAAGTGACCTCTTTTAAATTTACTCCGTTGATATTGATTAGTGCTGGTTGTTTTTGGTTTTGGTGTTGGTGCCTGTGCATCTTCATCACCTCTGCCTTCTCTATGTACACCTAGAGTGTTGTAATTTCTGGCGGATTTTTCAGTCAGTCTGTTGGTTATCTCCTGCGCACGTTTGAGTTTATTTGATATGAAACATAAGTCATCTGTGAAATGCAGGTCTTTTATAGTCTTCTTATCGGTCAGTGTAGCGTATTCGTGTCTTCCTGCTTCCGAGGGGGGGGGGGGAAGTCGGTCACTTAATCGAGTCCACCACAATTAGAAATGACATTGGTGATAATAGGTAGTGTTGTCTTGTTCCTGCTTTCACTTCAAAGGTCTGACTGAGTTTTCCCTGTGTGGATCACCTGACACGTGGCATTGCCATGTAGCCAACCGTTAAATGAGGTTCATAAAGATTTGACACTGCACGCCATAGCGTTGAATAATTTTCCAAATTATTTCGTGGTCAACGGGAGTGGAATCAAGATGAAAACGTTGATTTAGAACGGGATGCCCTAATTACCTGTTCTTTGTGAATCATAACATAACATACAATGTTATATTCTTCTTCCATGCGGATAGATGCATGATGAGATCTTTTTCTGTAGACAAAAAGGAACTGATGATGAATGGTTTTGTACATATTTCTTCCCTCAACTTTCAGTAGAAGTCTTCTAAGTGTTCTAATAAATCTTTCCCTTTGTCCACGCTATGGGCTGGCTCTGTTGTCTTTGATGACATGGAACAAACAAGCTCGCCTTGTAAGCGAAAGGTCCTGAGTTCGCACCTGGGTGGTCCTGTGCCAAACTGGGACGAAAGAGTTGTTCACTGCTCCCTGGTGCTTTCCCACAGATTCTCTAACTGATGTCAACTTGTATTCAAACCGCTAACCAATCAAATCCATACAAACCCCAACACTTGATATTTATACTGATATGTTCAACTATGTAGGTTAGAATAGCTATGCCTTACTCACCTGCTTTTATCTCACTGGCCACTGTAAATCCTATCATGTAACACTAGTTTTGTGTGTGTGTGTGTGGGGGGGGTACTTCCTATGTGATGGTGAAGAAATCAATGGAATTTTTAGTTAGGTTTTATTGCGAACTGACAATCAATAATTGATTGACTGATTGATTCACCACAGATAGACTTTGGCTGCCTCTTCAGCGGTGTACATACGGAATTAGATAACAAGCTGAAGTTATCATTTCTCGAGATCAAAGACATTAAGAATTCAGTCATTGATTTCTCATCCAAAGGATCTACGTAAAATCTAAAAATCACCTGTCAAATAAACTACTCGTTAAATTGTGTTATTTAACAGGATTGGTCACGATTAGAGAGACATCAGTTAGAGAAAGACTGGAAAACCACTGGGGAAGTAGTGGACAGCTGTTTCGTTCTAGTGCCCACACCACCGGGGTTCGAACCCAGGACCTTCTGGTTCACGAGGTGAGCTCGTAAACCATTCATCAGCCACTGGGATCCAGTCCAATGGCCAGTCCATGAATTTCAACCTGTAGCGCAACTTCCAGTCGAAAGTGTCAAAGGCGACTGACTTGGTGGATCCCTCTGGTTACGATTTCCTCGGGTATTGGTTCTTCGTATTGCTGACTCTTCTCATTTACTACTAAAACCTGGCAAATTAAGTAATAAAGGTGGTGTCTAATGGATTCCTAATAGAGATACTTATATATAATTGTCAGTAGTAGTAGTAGTAGTAGTAGTAGTAGTAGTAGTAGTAGTAGTAGTAGTAGTAGTAGTAGTAGTAGTAGTAGTAGTAGTAGTAGTAGTAGTAGTAGTAGTAGTAGTAGTAGTAGTAGTAGTAGTAGTAGTAGTAGTAGTAGTAGTAGTAGTAGTAGTAGTAGTAGTAGTAGTAGTAGTAGTAGTAGTAGTAGTAGTAGTAGTAGTAGTAGTAGTAGTAGTAGTAGTAGTAGTAGTAGTAGTAGTAGTAGTAGTAGTAGTAGTAGTAGTAGTAGTAGTAGTAGTAGTAGTAGTAGTAGTAGTAGTAGTAGTAGTAGTAGTAGTAGTAGTAGTAGTAGTAGTAGTAGTAGTAGTAGTAGTAGTAGTAGTAGTAGTAGTAGTAGTAGTAGTAGTAGTAGTAGTAGTAGTAGTAGTAGTAGTAGTAGTAGTAGTAGTAGTAGTAGTAGTAGTAGTAGTAGTAGTAGTAGTAGTAGTAGTAGTAGTAGTAGTAGTAGTAGTAGTAGTAGTAGTAGTAGTAGTAGTAGTAGTAGTAGTAGTAGTAGTAGTAGTAGTAGTAGTAGTAGTAGTAGTAGTAGTAGTAGTAGTAGTAGTAGTAGTAGTAGTAGTAGTAGTAGTAGTAGTAGTAGTAGTAGTAGTAGTAGTAGTAGTAGTAGTAGTAGTAGTAGTAGTAGTAGTAGTAGTAGTAGTAGTAGTAGTAGTAGTAGTAGTAGTAGTAGTAGTAGTAGTAGTAGTAGTAGTAGTAGTAGTAGTAGTAGTAGTAGTAGTAGTAGTAGTAGTAGTAGTAGTAGTAGTAGTAGTAGTAGTAGTAGTAGTAGTAGTAGTAGTAGTAGTAGTAGTAGTAGTAGTAGTAGTAGTAGTAGTAGTAGTAGTAGTAGTAGTAGTAGTAGTAGTAGTAGTAGTAGTAGTAGTAGTAGTAGTAGTAGTAGTAGTAGTAGTAGTAGTAGTAGTAGTAGTAGTAGTAGTAGTAGTAGTAGTAAGTAGTAGTAGTAGTAGTAGTAGTAGTAGTAGTAGTAGTAGTAGTAGTAGTAGTAGTAGTAGTAGTAGTAGTAGTAGTAGTAGTAGTAGTAGTAGTAGTAGTAGTAGTAGTAGTAGTAGTAGTAGTAGTAGTAGTAGTAGTAGTAGTAGTAGTAGTAGTAGTAGTAGTAGTAGTAGTAGTAGTAGTAGTAGTAGTAGTAGTAGTAGTAGTAGTAGTAGTAGTAGTAGTAGTAGTAGTAGTAGTAGTAGTAGTAGTAGTAGTAGTAGTAGTAGTAGTAGTAGTAGTAGTAGTAGTAGTAGTAGTAGTAGTAGTAGTAGTAGTAGTAGTAGTAGTAGTAGTAGTAGTAGTAGTAGTAGTAGTAGTAGTAGTAGTAGTAGTAGTAGTAGTAGTAGTAGTAGTAGTAGTAGTAGTAGTAGTAGTAGTAGTAGTAGTAGTAGTAGTAGTAGTAGTAGTAGTAGTAGTAGTAGTAGTAGTAGTAGTAGTAGTAGTAGTAGTAGTAGTAGTAGTAGTAGTAGTAGTAGTAGTAGTAGTAGTAGTAGTAGTAGTAGTAGTAGTAGTAGTAGTAGTAGTAGTAGTAGTAGTAGTAGTAGTAGTAGTAGTAGTAGTAGTAGTAGTAGTAGTAGTAGTAGTAGTAGTAGTAG